CTCTCAAATAAATGAAATCTTAAAAAAAAAAAAAAAATAAAGCACCTATCCTGTATGTTGCCTAATTGAACATAATAAATAAATAAATAAATAATAACACATCAACCCTGTCCTCCTGTTCCCTTGTGTAAACTTGCTCAATGGCTCCCATTAAGAGTCAACTCTGACCTTGATAACCCAGCACACAAATTCTCTATTCCCTGGCCCTATTTGTCCTTCTGTCCTTATTCTCCAGTAGATCTCATCCCAGCCATGACTAACATGGAAACATGCACACTGTACTGTTTCTGGCCTCTGGCCTTGGTTTCTGCTCTTCCTTCAGTCAGCCCTGCTCACTCCCACCTCCCTTCTGCCGTGCCTAACTCATCCTTCGGGATTCGGGACACTCAGCACCCACTTCTAGGTGGCCTTCACAGGCTGCACTTGCCTTTGCAAACTGAGCTGAAAACAGCTAGTTTGTTGTCTCCCCACTCTCAGGCTAAAGTCAGTTGGAGTCTACCTGTTTACCTTTCCGTCTGCTCATGTTGGTGTCAGCCGCTGGACTCAGAGCCCAGGCTTCATTCGTCCCGGTACCTTTGGCTCCTGGCACCAAGTGCTTGGGGAACAGAGCTGAACGATAAAGTGTTTTTCACTTACATTACCCTGTAGTGAATGTTTACAATAGTTTTTGAAACAAAATTACTATTCCCAACTTTATGAATTAGGAAACGGAATCTCAGAGAGTTTGTCCAAAGCCACGCAGCTGATAAGGAGCAGAAGACCGAACTTAAATCCGGGTCTACCAACCTTGAACTTTCAGAAACTTTGACCACAAAACCTTGCATTTTATTCTTCATTAATCTTTTGTATTAGTTATAAAATACACTACAATTATAAAAATTATGTCATGTGAGACATAAATGCATATCTTTCATAATAATAATAAAATAAATGCCCACGTCCATGACTTAGTTTAGGAAGTAGAATATTGCCAATACCTTTGAACCGCTATCCAAATTTCGTGTCTATCATCCCCTTGCTTTTCTTTAGATTTTCCTACATATGGATGTACAGTGTATTGTCTGATTGTGCATGCTTTTGAATCACACTGTATATAATCTGTGGAATTGCTTTTTTAAGTCAGTATTATGTCTATAGGACTCATACATGTCAGTGTGGACACTGGATAGCTGTGGTGTAGGCAATTTCATTGTTGTCTAGTAGTTTATTGTACAAGAGTATCAAAGTTCACTTGCCCACTGTTTCTGTGGATGGACACTTGAGGTATCTTCAATTTTTTGTTGTTGTTTTGTTTTCACAAAGAGCATTATTATCCTTGTACATCTCTCCTGCTATCCATTTTTCTCTGGGGCATATACCTAAGAGTGAAGTTCAGAGAAGCACTTTTATCTTTACCAAATCATGTCAAATTGTTTCCAGTATCAACAGCATCAACAATGAAAAGGAATTTGATACTCCACATCCTTACCAAAATTTGTATGTGCTGTGATCTGAATGTTTGTGTCCCCCCAAAATTCATGTGTTAAAATCCAAACCTCCCCAAAGGTTGATGTATTAGTAGGTGAGGCCTTGGGAAGTGGAGCCCTCATAAATAGGATTAGTAACTTCTAAAAGAGCCTCCAGAGAGATCTCTAGCTCCTTCTACCATGTGAGAACATTGCAAGAAGGTGCTGGCTGTGAACGAGGAAGAGGGCCTTCCTTGAATGTGGCCATGCTGGTGCCTTAATCTTGGACTTCCCAGCCTCAGAACCGTGAGCCATGAACTTCTATTGTTTATAAGCTACCCAGCTGGTAGTATTTTGGGGATAGCAGCCCAAATGAACTGAAACAATATATAAATTTAAAAAAATTTTTTTTTGCCAACAAGTGGGTATACATTTATTCTCAATGGGCTTTTTAATTTGCCTCTTTCTGATTATTGGTGAGATGGAGGCATTTTATATTTTTATCAGCCATTTATACTTTATCTTATGAAATATGCTTGTTTATATTTTTGCCCATTTTTCTGCTGGGTTATCTGGCATTTTCTTATTGACCTATAGGAGTTATTTACATGTTTTGGATGTGAACCTTTGTCAGTTACATGTCGTGACAAATCATGTTCCCACTTTGTGACTTATCTTTTTATACTTTATGGTTGACTGATATGCAAAAGCTCTTAATTTTAATACAGTTGTATGTATTAATCTTATCGCAGTTGTGTGTATTAATCTTATCCTCTTTGTACTTTTGTGTGTATTTGTTTGTTTAAAGAATTCTTCTCTCTCCCATGGTCATCAATAGTGAAAGACAGCACTGACTGAGTACTTTCTATGTTTCAGTACTCATTAGCTCCCTTTCTCAGATGATGAATGCAAAGCACAGAGAAGTGACGCACCTTGATCAAAATCACACAGCCAATCTGCAATGGAGTCAGGATTTAGCTTCAAGTGATGTGGCACCAGAATGGAATTCCTTGAATTAACTGCGGAACAGACCTCCACCATTTCAGTGCTTAAAACAGGCAGTTGATCAAAGGCTTTTGGCATCCTGTAAAGTGAACAGGATATCCCCTGAAGAAACCCCACAAGAGGCAGAGGCCGTCATAAAGCCCTGAACAGCCTCCAGCAACTCCTACGCTGCTGGGACCAAAATAGCTCACGAAGCATTCCTGCCGCCTCCTTGTGAACTGTGTGGAAAGGAACACTGGTCACGAATTCTTTGTTCCAGCCACCCCCACGCACGAGGACAGCCACAGAGACTGCGGTGGCATCTTGGAATCTGGAGAACAGCATGTCACAGGCTACACATCATACTTCTTCTGTACCAAGTGTTGTCTTCGTCCAAAATTAGAGCGTTTTAAACAAATGCAAAGAAACAGAAAACGGTCTTTTTAATTAAGAGATAAAATGAGAGTGATTTGAGCTTAGCAGAGTATGGGGGCCAGATCATAAAATATCTCATATGCCAAGCTTAAAAAGTGTGAACTTTATTGTGTCCGTGGGGAGGTTTGGTAGTGTTTGAAACAGGAAGGTGACACGATCCACTTATTATCTTGCTTGTTAGAGACCATATGACTAGTTACAATCTGGCTGATAGAATAGACTGAGGAGTGGTGGTGCCAGGCTCTGCTGATAGTACCCTCCCACCCCATCCTGGTTTTTTCTTTGCTGGTAGAGCTCTCCTCCCACTCTGAAGGCTGGAAATGCCTAAGAGTCACTTTCCCTGCTTCCCTTGCATGTAGAGCATGGATGAGCATGTGACCCAGTCCTGGCTAGTGGGACCTGAAGGGGAGTCTGCTGGGGGAGTCTGCAAAAGGTTTTCCTCCAATCAAAAGATGCATAAGAAGAAATCCCGCTTGGGCACCTGGGTGGCTCAGTCTGTTAAGCGTCTGCCTTTGGACTCGGGTCATGATCCCAGGGTCCCTCCCGCTGAGTAGGGAGCCCACTTCTCCCTCTCCCTCTGGTTCTCCCCCTGCTTGTGCTCTCTCTCTCTCTCTGTCAAATAAATAAATAAAATCTTTTTAAAAAGAAGAAGAAGAAATGCCTCACTTCCCCCCAACCTCCTGCCCCAGATGTGGTCCTGTTTGCATGCAATGCCTGGAGCTGCCACCATGAAAAGGGAAAAGCCTGATACATCAGGCATGGTAGAGCAGAAAGACGGAAGTAATGACACCATTGAGCCACACAGAACAAAATTCCCTCTGGGGATAATAGATGCTTGTTGTCTAAGCCACTTTTACTAGGATACTCTGTTACTGGTACCCTAAAGCCGCTCAGCTGAAGGAAGCATTAACAAAGTCACCAACACAAGTTAATGTGATATTATTAGAAGATATTTAAAAAGGCACTTTTCCTTCAGATATTTATTTGAAATAAATGAGCCTCTTAAAATTGCGAATAATTAGCTACCATATTAACTGTCCATTATGCATTTTGGATGCTCAAGCAAGAAACTACACAGCTTCCCAGATGGCATGTCTTATTATTTCTCTACTTAAAATGATATTTTTCTCATTGTCTTCTCGCATTCTCACGCTTCCCCTAGTAAACACTGAAAACTTTCTCCCAGTTTTTCACTAGGCGGCAATTCTCTTTTGGTGTAGGTCTCTCTGTAATAAAGTCCTGACAGTCAAAATACATTATGTAAGGAGAATCTTGGCATTGTGTAAACAGAAGAATTGCAAGTTCTGGGGCTTCAGACAACAATATAGAATCACAGGATTCTCAAGGTCGGTGATCCCTTACAAGCCATCTGTGTAGTAACAGTAGAATTTGAATATAGACAAAAACAAAACATCTAGAGTTCTCTAAGGCCATTAACAATTATCTCCCGTTCCAAAATCTGATATCCAGTAGTTGGCAACGTTTCAGCAATTCCTTCTGGTTCCACCTGAAGGAAACGCCGTTTCTGAAGGAGACCTTGGGGTCCTCCAGCTACCACCAGGAGATTCGTTCCTTCCTTGCGGGAATGTTTTACTAAGGATCTATCAGTCGTTGACACTGAGATTTAGTGGATCCACCTTTGTTCTGGAGTTGCTTACAATATTTTCGGAAACACTCAAACAACTTCGCAAATTCAAGTGAGACACACCGAAAGCGTGATGGAGAGCTGGAACTGCCAGATCCAGACGGGGTGAAGGGGGCTGCTCTGGGTTAGACAGAGGGGGTTCTCTCCCATTCCCTTCAGTGCGTACCGACCGAGCGCTCCGCGGCCTGCAAGCGCCTTTGGAGGCACCGCCCCCTCGCCCCAGCAGGTGCGGCCACCCGCGCGCACGGGGATCCGGTCTGGCCGGCGAGGACGCCGAGCGCCCAGGCCCCGCGGCCCCGAGGATGCGCAGCGAACCGGGCCGCCCCGGGAGGCCGCAGACGGCGGGGGTCCCCGCGTGTCGCTGGCGCGGGAGGAGCGGGGTCGCGCCGGGGAGGCCGAAGTGGGCGGGGCGTGCGGGCGCGCGGGAGCCGCACCTGCGGCCGCGCGGGGGCGGGAGCCAGGTGCCCGCGGCGATCCCGCCGGCCCGGGCGCGGAGCAGGAAGTGGCCTCTGCAGGGCGCGCCTCCTCCGCGGCGCCGGGCGGAGCGGAGGGCCCGGGAGGCAGCCGGAGCCTGAGTCCGCGAGCCGGGAGCGAGCCCCAATGGCCGCCGCCTCGCCTGCGGTGGACGAGCTGTCCCGGAACTTCACCTACTGGGCGCAGGGCGCCGCCAATGGCTCCCTGTCGGGCGCGTGGTACCGCAGGAACCAGGTAAGGGGCCGGCCGCCCCCGTCGCCCGCTGGGGACACGGGCGGGGCCGCGGCGCCTCCTGCTCCTCGGCCGCCCGCCGGCCGGCTCTCAGAGCTGACGTGATGTTTCCACACGTTCACTGAACTGCCCCTCATGTGCGACAGCGCGGGGCCCCCTCCGCCGGCCTAACTCTCCCCGGCCTCCGCCCCTGGGAGTGGGGCGCCTCCGACCTCTGCGGGGTCATTCCTGGGCCTCTGGGTCCCGCACGATCCCGCCTCTCCGGCCTGAATCCGCCTTCTCCCCGAAGGATTCTCGGAGTGTGGGGTGACTCCCCTCCACCCGTATTCAGTCCCCCTCCATCCCGATCGTTTTACAGTGAAAATAAGTGACACCCCGTTCTCTGAAGCAGGGAACTTGTTAAGGGCTCGCAAATGTCACCTCCGCGCTCCGCAGATGCTCTGCGCGCGCGTGTGTCCCCGCTGGCTCAGCAGGGCGCTTCCATTTCCGTGCAAAGAACACCCGTATTCTTGGGGCTGCAACTGCATGACTCTCTCCTTCTGTTTCACGGGTCCTCTGGAGGAAACATCGTCAGCCTAAACATTGCCAGTTTATGCTGGAAAGATACACCGAAGGAGCTCAAAGGGGAGCGGAGCTGCCCATTTATTTTTGTCTTGGTTTACGATCAGAAAAACGGCCCTGGCGAGCCCTTCCTCTAGCCGCCTGTATATTCTTTTAAGTGGGGGCTAGCGATCTGCATGGAGTGGACCCCGAGCCTCCTCCTGGGTGCATAAGTGTGTTACTTTTTTCTTGCTCTTTAATAAATCCGTGGGCCTTTTTGGTTCACAACAAAGTAATCGTAAAATATTTGTTACTGTTGAGCTAAGTCGTCTTTAACCAATAATCAAAGGTCTAGAATTCCTCTAAGAACACTTGAAAAGTGTTTTGAATGCTAATTTCTAAAACATCAAAATATTGTTTTCAGAAATTTAACACAAAATTATTTATATAAAGACAAAATAAGCATGTGTCCACCTTATTCGTTTTCAACAAAGGAGAGGTTATTGCTTTAAGTCTGTTTTGCCACAAAACGCACTAACATAGGAAGAATGAGGGGACTCAGAGCCTCTTGGTGGCTGTGTGTAATCTAGTCCACGTCTTCCTTGACAGGATTTACGAAGAAAAGAATTGCTTCTTATGGAAAGCTCTTTGAGTCTATCTGTTAAATTATGTTTATGCTAGTATATATTATAAACATGCTCTAATGTGCTTATGCTAGAAGCACTCCCAGGAAAGGTTTAAGAATGAACTTTTTTTCTTTTGGTAAAGAAATTAGAGGCTTAGTAGTTGTGACTTACAATGGCATCATCTGAAACAGGAGAAAACATTGTTCTCATAGTTGAAACTCCTGTAGTCAGTTTTCCTTGCTATTTCCTGGAATTCAAGATTGTCTTGGCTCTCTTAACATCAAAACAGATTACCACGTGACATAAATGTGGGGACCTAATTTGACGTTTGCAAGGCCTAACTTGCCTTTGACAGTATATATTTGTACAGCTTTAAAAGGGTGTATCCAGGATATGCTAATTGAAATTACTCAGCGGACATATAAACTATAGCTAGTTTGAGATGAGATTGTATCAACTTTTCCCATTATTCTGCAAATTTAGGCCATCTTATAAGACTTAGAAGAGTGTGAAAATTGATTTTTTTTTAAATTCACTCAGCAAACATTGTATTGACTGCCTCTAGTACGGGCCAAGCCAGCAAAAATAAAATGGACCCTAATTTTTTTTTTTTTTCTGCCAAATGTAGATGACTGAAAATGGGAGCAGCTCCAGAAAAACAAAGTTTGAGGTATCAGTTTAGGACTCTCACACTCAAAATTAGCCTGGGATGCTGGGTAGTCATGGTTTAATCTGTTTTATCACAACTGAACTACTTGATGACAGTGTGTATTCACCCGGAACCCAGCTCTCTGGATCTTTCCACGTGAAACCATCAGACTGATAAATTAGCCTTACTCCTAGAGAAAGACCAATCCTCTCACATAACAGCTGGATATTTAACAGTGGTCTCTTAGAATCAACATTGTCCAAGGCAAAGGTGTGAGTGCTTCTATAGGAAGAAATCCTGAAGCAGATAGAAAGTGGGAAAAATGTTTTGGGAAGCCAGAGAAGTGAGGCCTTTGGCCCTTTTTGTTACTCAAGCGTCTGTCTATGGAAGCACAGGTACAGGGGAGTTCTGCCAGCATATTTTCTTCATGTTTGATCCACAAGTTTTCAGTATAAAAGGGTAACATTTCTGAGATGGTTATCAAGCCCCCTGCCTAGTGTGAAACACATGTATATATTCACTCTTTTTTCCAGGAGTGTTATTAGGTGGTTGGGTAAATGAGCTATGCTGATACCTTCAAAACAAGGTAGTATGTTTTAAGTATCATGTGAGTGATATAAAGTCCTGTGGAAATTTGCAGCGAGGTGGCTTTGCACAGGGGCCATCAAGGATGTTTTGTGGACAGGTGGTGTTTCAGCTGGGCGCTTATGGGTGGACAGAGTTTCACTCTGGGAGTGCACAGGTGGAGGAACGTCTGGAGACCAAGGATAACCCATGTGGCCTGGAGGTGACTTTCTGACTATTTTGTATCTAATGTGGAAATTGGGCCATTCTGGTTGCAGTGGAGAATGGAGACTGTAAAGTGGAAATATAATTTGGGGTCTTAAGTGTAGTCATGGATTGCCTTGAAGGACTGGTTAAGAAGTTTGGACTTTTATCTTGTAGGCAACAGTGAGCCCTTTTTGTTTTTTGTTTTTTGTTTTTTTTGTTTGTTTGTTTTGTTGTTGTTGTTGTTGTTTTTGACAAGCAATGTGAGAATCAAATCAAATTAAATAAACTTAACTTAGGGTTAGCAAAGCTGATTCAGAGGCCTCTAATTGGCTAAATCCGGCCCACAGATGTGTCCTGTTTGACCTGCAGAGAGGCTTAAAAAATGTGTAATACATTGCCAGCATTTAAAAGCAAGTAGATCTTATATAAAGTTTCAAGTGCCAGTGATGTCTTTAAATGTTAAAAGTTCTAGGAGCACTTGGCTCTCTCGCCCACTGGTAACTGTGCTGAAGTTCAGTTTAGAACAGCTGTGCTCCCCACCTAAGCCCCTCCCTTTACTCTCATCTCTAACCTACTAGTCTCTGTAGGCACTTAATTTGCAACCAGTGTTAGGAGCTGTAGTCTAGTCTCTGCTGTGAATTAGTGTGTTGCTTGGGCTTCAGTTTTCTCTCCAGGAAAACAGGGTTGGAATAAAGGATCTCGGGTCTGCCTTTTGCTATCTGATTGATTAAATAGTGCCAAACCAAAATTGTGGAGAGAATGGACAGGATAGGATGAACGTGGGAAATATTGTGAAGAAGGGGTTTTGTCCCTGGTTCTTAAAATTTAAGGATATTGCTAAGTATCTAAATTCACAAGGACATTGTCAAAATGGTTTATTCTGCATAGGGTGAAATGAAAATTTAGAATTTTTTATCTCCCTTATTTGAACTTTTGATTTTCAATGGTTTGAGTGTTTAAAGTCAATGTATTTAGAAGAACATTGATACAAATTTGGCCAGGAAGAGGCAAAGTCAAGAGACCACATTTGTTATACATTTACTATGTAAATAACACTTTGTAACTATTTATGTAACACTTTGTAGCTATTATCTCAGTGGAGCCCCCAACAACACCTCTTGTAAGGTACATATCAGCCTCACTGTTCATGTAAGGAAACCCTAAATAACTTGCCCCAAGATCAAATAGCAAGTAAGAGTAACTACACAGCTCTCCTTTTCCTAGGCCATTGCTTAGAAACTATGGCTTGAAAGAATGTGGTGGTGAGAGAAAGGAAAGAATGTGGTGGTGAGAGAAAGGAATGAGTGTATCTTATTTCATTGCACTAAAGAAAATCGTATTGAGTTTTATATCGCCCGTTTATTGATTTTGCTTTGCTATGCTACTATCTATTTCTTTTCTGCTGGTAGCTGCATCTCTGTCTCTTGAAGAAAGAAAAGTGCCAAAATTTACAGATAACTAAAGTGCTGGGTAGAGATTGCTGGTCCTTTCCATTTCCTTCCCAAGGAAAAAAAATCCCTTTTTTGTTTCATTTATGCTTATTGATTTTTTTTTTCCTTCCTTATATATCCAACATGGCATTTTCCTGTTACGAGATTTTCTACAAGATGTATGTATGGGGCAGCAAGAGGAAGGAAGAAACAGATTACCTCAAAACAACTATATCAAAGCTCTAAAAACAAAATAAATCATCATCATCATCATCATCATCATCATCCTACAGTTTTTGTTAGAGGCAAAGAGTCTTACTGCTGCTGTGAATTTGGCAGACAAGATGTTTGCATGTCATTCTACCTGATCTCCTCCTTATGGCTTGATTTATACTAACTAGTTATAATATTTGTATTGATGCAATCCACAAAATTCAGGCCATGGGAAACTTTGCCATTTTACAGGTTGAAATGGCTCCATTTCTTTAGAAATCATTTTTACAAGAAAGAAAAGGGAGAGAATGGAGAAGTTGTAAATTAAGAGACCTAAAAAACCTATAGATTAAAAAAAAAAAAACAAAAAACCTTCAACTATAGTGTTGAAGGATGCCCACTTGGGTGATGAAACTATAAGGGAAGGCAAGAAAATGATTGCAATAAAGTTGAGCCAGTGGTTTCTTGTGGGAACGGAGCTGGTGTGATGAGATGGGTGAAGGGAGGGCTTTGGGTGGGTGCTTCATTTCTTTTAGTGTCTTGATCTGGATGGTGTTATAAGGATGTTTGCCTTATAATAATTCATTTTAGTGATTTATTGATCTGTATCCTTCTCTTTGCAGTTTATATCTATTTTCTATAATTTTTTTACATTTTATAAATATTATTAGCATTGCAATAACTGTTCAACTTGCATGTTTTACCCAGGTAGATAATGGTGTATACCATATTCACCTTGTGGGAAGTCTGCTTAAACAAGCAATTGAGAATTAT